GGACAGAGAGAAAGGGAAAGTAAATCTTCATTACCACTGCTATTCTTAATTTTAAAAAGAATCTCACTGTGTTGGGAATCACCCTACACTTCAGTAAGGAATTATGTCACATGACAACTGCATTCTCTAGCACCAAGCTACTCTAAAAGTGAAAAGATGTAATTGTGAATACTTTATAAGCATTGGAACTGAAGTGCCAGGGTTGCATGTTGCACAGTTTCTTTAAACAGTGTTCAGAACTAAAAGGGTGGATGATGCAGGTAGGAATGGCCTGTGAGGGCTCTAAGCATTACAAACCTTTTCACTGAATTTCAGAATTGCACTATTTGAGGGTTTACACAGGTTTCAGTTATGTAAAAACAAAAACAAAACAACCCTACAATTTCTACATACTTATGTTGAGGGATTACATTTTAAACCAAATCCAAATAAAAGTAACCAGTCAGATCTTTTTCTTTTTTTTTTTTTTTTTCTTTTCCCTCCTAACTAAATGGCTGCAGTTAGGAAAGGTAAGACTGAATTTGGCCATCTCGAATTCAAAATACCAAAGTGCAGTAGACAAGCAGCCTCAGGAAACAACAAATTTTAGAGTTACTCTGAGCCTGCCAATGATGTAGACCTTCAGAACAAGGATGTAACCTTACAATTTCCTTAGCAGTGACTTATTATAATGCAAATGGGTGGGGGAGTAATATTTTTGCTGATAAAGATTAATTTATCTTTAGGCAGCCCATTGTTATAGAATTAACAGGATGGATTTCAACCAACTTGCTTTTAGACAACTCTTCAAGTACAGCACTCCTAGTTTTCAACACTCAGACATTTTCAAAAACTATTTAAAGTCTATTATTTTTCGTTATGGTCAGGAGAAACTTTGATTTGCTCACCTTTGCAGTTGCCCCGGTAGGCTATTTCCAGCTGAGGGTCTTTGCATTTTGCTCGTTGAAATTCACACCGGGACAGAAAAGTTCTTCCATCAGATGCACAGAGTGATTTCTGAGGGGAACCTGCACAGTCCAGGCTGCATTCTCTGTCTTTATCTTGGTCCACTCTCAGAAACTAGAAAAAACAAATTAATGCTGTAGGACTACTATACCCATGTGAAAATTGCTCTGTGATCCCTTTCCCCAGGGAACACATGTAAATATTACCCAAAACCGAAAAGAAAGATTTGCCTTTTTAGCCTGTTCAAACAATAGTTGATTCGTCATATCTGGGGTTATTCAGCTGCTGCTTTGAAATGGTAGTGATTACAACATTTCTGTAACATACACAAAATCCACTATCACAATTAGGAAACCTGTGAATCTCCTTCAACCACTACCAAGCTGAAAACAGCAGCTTGGAGTCTTTAGAGCAAAACTGGTGATGGCAGAAACATCCTTCACAACAAAAATGAGACAGCAATGGAAACTTGTCTATTTTATTAGCTATGCACTAACTAGCCTACAATAACAAGCTGAAAAGTCTGTTCTAAGATCCAAATAGGATTTTTAACATCAATACTCATCTAAAATTGTAACCATAATATGTCAAATAGCCTCAGTGCAAGAGGCCTGAAGAGAAAATGAGTGAGGTAAGAGAACCTTATGAAGCACCTTATGAAACAGAAGAGATCATTTATTCTTGCAATGCCCATACTCAAAATCTAAAGACTCCTGAATAAAACAGAAATTTCAGATATATTTTATAGAAACATTTGTATTTGTGCATATGCTTGCCTATAAAAATACATGTCAAGACTGAAGAGGGAAACGTTATAACTTGCAGTTTTTCCAGTGAGACCATTCTCATACTACGCACGATGGAGTCTCAGCTGCCATTCCAAAGTGCTTCAACATAGGCAAGCAGAAAAGACAAAACCTGAACCAGGCTGTGAGTTGTGTGCAAAAGAGTCAAATATTTGTTTTAATTTGTTACCAGCCAAGAAAAACTTCTGACTGCTGTTTTGAGGATGTTCTGAGCCCTGGTATGGGTTGCCTATGGCTGCAAGAGCTCAGAGGTGCCCTGCCCCAGCATGGGTTGCCCATGGGCCACAGTCCCTGGGGGTTGTCCTTGCACTAGTGTAGGTCTCCTGTAGGCCACAGTATTTTTTTTCTAGACTGGCACAGGGCAGTTCATGTCCTTCTCTCACACTGGAGAGCCCTGCAAAGCCCCTGCTACTGAAACCCTGTCAGCCCTGCCCTTTGCACACATTCTCCCTTTATCAGAAATTCAATCTCACCTCCAGAATACAGTGAGTTGGCATAGGCTGACAGAAGTAATTTAGTTGTTACCATTATAAATTTCAACAGATGCTTTTCTTTCTAGTTCTGCTATGAAGCCATACTGAGCCTGGTCAAACTGTTCATCCCTCCACCCCCAAGACTGCAGGCATGGCTGATGACTTTGGCATCGTCCTTGGCACTGTGAAAAGCAGAGGAGCTGCTCACCCTGAAACATGCTGCCAAAAAACTCATCAGTTCTGATGCTGCTGCATGCCAGCCAAACCCAAAGATAGTACTTCATCTTCTGAGCTCCTGAAAAGTGAGGACTAGGGAGGAAGTGAACTTAGTCCTCAGATGAATTTCCTTATCATTTTGCTGTTTCAGAGTAAGCACAAAATTAAGCAAGGCATATAGCTACCAGGACATAATCATTCTCCTAAGCATTAGGAGACACCTGAGAAAAGGTCTTCATCCAGCTGAAGCACCGGTTTCATTGGTGCTACTTCATCATCATAAATCTCGGGTACAGAAAAACTTGAGCTTCAGAGTAGAAACTGAAACTACTAGGAGGAAAATTTCAAGAAAAAGAAACAGGACAAAAGAGTAGTATTTGAGCAGGAAAGAGTAGTAAAAACTGAAAAATCCAGAAAACATTTGCTATATATAGTTTCCCTGCATTTTATTACACAAAAAAAAAATTATAAAAAGAGTCATAAATCTCTGTAATCTTCATACTTAAACTGTGGTCTATTTGCATTTCCTATCGTTTAATGTGAGGAAATACAGATGCCCTTCTGGAGATTATGCCTGAAAATGGAGAAACAATCTCAAAGGTATCACTTTAAAATAATAGTCATGTGGTTGGATTTTGACCAGAATTTTTATGTTTTAGTGGCATAGTAACATAAAAAGGAAAGCTTCCTTTTCCCAATGTTTGTGAGCTATTTTTCATTCTTAACAATAATTAGCTTCAGAAGCTAATCACTCACAAATTACACACAAACCCCAAACCTTTATTCCTGGGATTGAGCTATAGAGAGCTCCAGAAGTGGGGAAGAGATGTTCCATCGCCCCCTCCCCCCACCCCCCTTCGGTGCTATTTTGCAGATCCTTTTCACTGACAGCAGTTAATAATTATCTGAGCTGAGTGGGAAGGGGAAAAAACTGAGGTCATCTCCCTTTACCTGCAAAATGAGCAATAGTGAAAATGGACTTCCATGATTGACCAGTCTCCAAATTATGTTCGTCTCCAGAGCCTGACCAGGTGCCCTGAAGAGCTGCAGCATGGGGGGGCGCGGGTGCGGTCCTCCAAGCCTCACTTTCTTGCCTGGGAGGCATTTGCAGGACCCATCTAGCTAGGACTGTGAAAAGGACTTTTCAAGAAAAAATGGACCATTTAGGGTCTCTGGCAGAAAAATTTGACCCAGTCCCCTGCTCTGCCTCAGACTTCCCCTGTGGATTTGGTGATGGCAAGTCAAGTGATCTCCCTCTTCCTATTTTGTGAAGTAAGGATCTGAGTACAGCCTTTCTGTGTGTATAAGACTACCCCTCTATAATGGCTAGGAACTTTGCCACGCTTAATTTATCCTCAGCAACTTCCCTGTTGAGCAGAGAATTATTTTTCAAAAGCACAGGAAGGCTTCGTGACCCACAGAAAATCATGTGGTAGATCAGGGAACTGAACCCAGGCCTCAGAAAAAAATCACACAGAGCAGCAGTCTAGCCTCTGTCCCATTTTTCTCCCAGATTTTCCTCATCTTTTCTGTTTTGAGTTGTTGCAGGAGTTGTTGAAGATGGGTATGCCTGATCACAGTGGGCAAACCACAGTAACACAGTGGGCAGAAAATCCCCTCGGTCGTATGAGGGACAAAATCCACTCCCTTGAGAGCATGATAGTTCACAGATAAAGCTATATTTTAAAGGGCACTTACCCAAAGAGTTTTATTTAAGTATTTTATTATTTCAAAGCCTTAGAGGGGATTAGGGTAAATTATGGGTTCAAGGATATTCAAGCAACCTGGAAAAGCAGAGGATGAAGACATACCCGGGAGACAAAACCACTTGAATAGCCTGTTGGTTAGCCAAACCCCACTGGAGAATTTGGGTTGTACATTTAAACAATTTCCACCACACTAGTGTAACTGAGGGATTTAAGAGCAGGAAGGACAAAAAGGCAAGTAACTGTGAAAAAAGATAGCATACAAGAGAGACTAGCAAATGTACTTATAAAAAAAAAGATAGAAAGTATGTGACTGACATTTGGAAAATACTCCATTGTCATCTTCACTACAGCAGCATAAGATGATACAAGTCCAAACCTGCATTGCTTACTCACATGTAGCCAATGGAATCAATTAATATGTCAAAACCAATAAAAATGCTGAAATAAGCAAGGGCTATGGGATTTCTCATGGAATTTGGTATTTGTGTAAACAGGAACAAGCAGAGTCAATGACACAAAAACTAGGATCATACTGATACAGGACTTAGAGCTGTACTTCCCTGTGAAAATATTCCTTTTGATTAAAATAGGACAGTTTAGAGAGAGAATGATGGTTCTAGATGGACCAGAAGGTGACTCACCATGCATACTGGCTCATCTATTTCTGTCTTTAAGTTCACTTAACAAACAAATCTGTTATTGTACAAACATGTGATTCACTGAAAGACAAGTTTAAAACAGCATTTTTGTTGAATGCTGGTAGCAACTGAGATGAAGCCAACAATAGTTGACCAATCTGAGATGGAACTATTTTGAACAACCAGCAAAAACTGGACAATTATGGTTAAAACCTATTAAAAAGCAAACCACTTTTAACAGAGGTGTTCCTGCCCCTAATAACACAGAAACCAGCCTAGTCAAGTTTCAGAAAATTGTTTTCAACTACAAATTTGAGCTTATGCTACTGATTAACAGGCTTGACTCCTCAAATGGAGTTGCTTTAACTTATCTCCTGCTTTACACTTTAATATCATAAAAAAATTTTACAGCCTTCAATTTATTTCAGCCTTTCCAAAGCATTATATTTTACAACACCCAATTTCCAAGGGGCCTACTCTTCCATACGAGGCACTCTTTTAGATTCTCATGCGGTATTTCTGAGAAGAATGAATGATAATGGGACTATATCAGAAAAAAGCTTGATTATTAAGTTCACCTCAGCTAATAAAACCAAAAGTCACTATAAACTGCGTGTAGCCACTTGACAAATATAAGCATTGATAAAATATTATTTACTGTCATGTGTTTCAGGCATCACAGAATTCCAGTATTTTCCTTCACTGTCTCACACACACCAAAGGCTCTTAATACTGGCTGAAGTGTGCTCCCCTGTAGCACCAGCAGTCCCAGCCACCTTTCGTCCCTCTGTTACGGGAGTTTGGTAACACCAGAATTGTCAGAGTATGAAGTAGTAGATACCAGGAACCTTGCTTATGCTGGAGAAAATTATTTCTACTCTGTTTTCTGCTCTGCTTTATCCTTCAGCTTTGTTCTTGTCACTGGTCCCACATCTGGGTTGTGGACAGTCAGGATGCTTATTTGCTCACCACAAGCAGCATGTTGCAGTCCATGAGAAAGTTTTTTCCAGTACCTCAAGAGCAGGCATTCAATGTTTTTTTTACTGTGCTATTAAACCATTTATCAAGATTACATGTCCATACATTTTTTCACTGCTATGGCATAACATGTATCTACTCTTACACAGGGATTCAGCATCATTCCCTCTGGTCTACATCCCACCTCCACATCACCACGAGGGCAGAAAAGGTCTTCAGAGGAAACTGAGTCACGTGTGCATTTCCAATGCACAAATCTGTGATCCCATCATCTATAGTGCAGAGCAACTCTCTAAGCAGATCGCAGAGTACAACGGGAGAAAAATGGTGCATGGCCAGAGAGTCAATGACTGGATACATCTACAAGCCAAAGTGCCAGTGCAAGAAAGCAGAAGAGCCGAGACCAGTGTTATAGTCTGGTCATGGGGAGCGCAGACATCTCTTTC